GCCGTTCGGGGCGACATCAGCAATGCAACAGGCTTCCATTCCAGGAGTTGAAAGCGTAGGTGCTTTGGACGCTTTCTCCTCTGATTGCATAGGCCTTGATCGACATCGACGACGTGGAATAGGTCGAATGGCGTGTTGTCCGAATAGGTATGAAAGGGTGCTGACGGTGACTAACACTCGATATCGGACTTGGTGTGCTATAAATCAGGGTGGGTGGGCTCAGACTGCTTACTTGGGGCTTCGTAAAACGCCGTGTAAGACGGCCACTCCGCCGAGCGATGTCCGAGCAAGCGATATTGAGATAGGGGAATCGAGCGATACATTGCATCCAACCTGCCCTACCGGGACAGGGGAGAGGTCAGGCAGCATATATAAGGCATGGGACAAACAACTATATCGACATTGTCCGCAGATCACATGTTGTAGGTACTCAGGTAGGGAGGCAGCCGATGCATCGTAGCAGCAGTGAGACTTTGCCCAGAAGATTCCAAGTAGCTAAGTGCAGTAGGTCGTCGAGGGTGATGTGTCCCGTTACGAAGACGAGCTGACAAGAGGGGAAACAAGTCGATGGGACGTCTAGACCGGCGGACTGCTGATAGAGCCCCGAAGCCCGTCTCTCTGACGCCGAGAGCCGTCCTCCAAAGGAGCGCTCTCCTCTGGTCTTCTCTTGCTCACAAAAGCGTGACTTGCTATTTGGCACCGGAAATGCTCAAAGCTTCTCACCACCACGCGTGGCAGCTCCGTGTCCGGAGTTTATCGCCGAGTGTGTCTCGGATTGTACCCACAGAGAGGTAGTACCGTAGTCATGGTAGTGGGAGTTGGCCCGTCTGCCTCCTGTGCGATTATTCCGAAGACTCCGTCCGCATTCGCCGGGTCACGGGTGAAGCACGCCATCCCTGAGGATGCCGACCTAATCTCCATTGAGACACCTCGCGGCCGAGTCGGGAGTGTCTTTATTCGCCTGCGTGTGCTCCAGCTGGGTCGAATCGTCTTTCCCGAGACTTCGCTATTAACCGGCAGCCGGCGTGGTGTTTGCAGCAATGCGACAGACGGACGGCACGACAATTGAGGCACGGTACTACCCTATGCAGGAGATAGATAGCTGCGATAAGAGCTTGTGGCCCCTCTCTCCCCGGCTGCTGCCGATTGAGATCAGATGAGCCTCGGGAGATGGGGAAGCGCCGGGACACATGTGGGCACGGTGATTTGCCCATGGGGTCTTATCGCAGCTGTGCATATCGCCGAATGAGGGGCAACGAGGCACGGAGGGAAACGGAGCTGGGACGGACAACTCATCACGGACAACAGACCAACACCGTCTCCTTTTCACAAACCGATTCGAATGGTACGACCCGATTCAAACGGAAGCGTGCCAGCCAACATGCCCATGGCGAGCACGTTTCGGGAGCCGGCTTCCCAGAGGGCGAGTTTCGGGTTGAGGAGCGGCTGCTCTTAGCGCATGACGCTCATCCGTGTCGGTCCATGGACAGTAATGTTTTGTCTCGTTAGTCATGGATACCTATTACACAGCGAGATCCAGTCGACGGGAACGTGTGACTGATGGCTCGCATAACTGGAGCTCGGCTCGAGCGTCAGTCAGACGGCCTGGATACACAACCGCATGGCCTTGACGGGCTGCTGGATGGTGGCATGGGGCTGCGTCGGATTCCTGGCGAATGGCAGGGCCGAACCGGCCGCACGAGCTGGAATCCAAGGCATGACAAGACCGGCGATTTGGAGGCTGGCTCTTACCTAGCAATGAGGCAGACATGCGCCAGGGTGATCTCGTCATTGCCCGACACTGGCCAAGGCACACAGCCTCTCGTGGTGTGAGATCCTGGCCGGCCTTCTGAGGCCCTTCCGTCCGTCACTCTGGCGTCACTGTGTTGAGCCCGAGCCGCCCGCCCATGGCGACGACGCAGATGCCCGGCGTGCCGGGGCGGCGGACAGCTGGCGTGGTGTCACACGCGCCAGGCCGATCCGGATCTGGAGCTAGCATGGGGCGCTATCATCCCACCGCTATAGTGTGGAGGAGGCCGAGGAGGAGGCCACATGCATCCAGCCAGACGGACATTGTGTAGCGTACTTGATGTTGTGATTGTGATGGTACCGAGTACTTGTTGCGCCATGAGCGGTGGTTGTTGGTGAGTGGGCGATAAGGACCATCAGCAACAACATCCACGCTCCCACGCAACCACACAGCCGGGCCATAGGTAGGTCAGTCACCTGGCCACGCCGGCCGGCTGCCCACTCCCGCTCCTGCAATCAGCAGCGAGAAACGCAATGGACCTTGGCGAGTTCCTTGTCGTGCCTGTTTCCTGTTTCCATTTTTAACCGTTTTGTGCCTGGCGTTTCTGGCGTTTGCGGCCGAGCCAAGCCTCCTCACCTGCTCGCCGTCTGCGTCATCCACCTTATCGATAGCCCTGTGCCTGTTATCGTGCGCCTGCCTAGGCGCCGCGGCACCCGACGTTGCTAGATCGCATCACCTCCGGCCTGCGTGCCTGCGTGCTTATCTGAGTCACCAGGCCTCATATCCCTCTGAGCTCCTGCCCCCTATCCCGCTTGCTCTCCTGTCTTCTCTCTTTCCCATCACGTAGCTCTTCTCGTGCCTTCTGCCACCCTCTGACAGCATCTCGTCGACAACCCTCTGTTGAAACAAAGCCGCGTCTTGGTGTCACTGCGTCACTGGACCTCGAGCACCTGCTTATCTCTGCTGCATCATCGCCCTCGTCTTTCATCGCTCCGGCCGAGACACACAAAGCATTCTTGCCTCGCAAACAGCGACACCAGGGCATAGGACCTTCCTCGTCCTACCTCATCCTTGTCCCCTCGCCTTGTGACTCGACGGGTTGCCTCGATCCGCTTTCTCTCCTTCCTTCCGGAGTGCCGACCACTGTATTCCCATCCCCTCCCAGATTTCTCATCGAACCTACAACCCATCTTCATTCTCCGCCTCGCCAGGAGTGTCGACTCATCCATAGATTGCCTGCTCGCGCCGCCCATTACTGCATCGTATCCCACCCATATCCTTTCGATCCATCCAGATTGTTCCCGGGTCGTCGCTTCATCGTGCTTGTTGCCAACAAAGAAGACGTCCAGCATATAAGTCAGCCCCATACGACAACCGGCGTCCTCCACCTTTTGCATCTCTTGTAGTGCTGTGATATTCCCTCCGTTCGATCAACCATCAGATCAACCATCACACAACATGGCCTTTGAGCAGACTCGAGACCTTCGAAGCGGCGCCCAGGACTCCAAGAGAAACAAGGAGCACAGAGAGAAGTGGTCGCGGGGAAGTCGGCCGTCGGCTGGCTGCAAGTCCAGCTGGGAGGAACCTGATATCGTCTTCACTGGCAGCGAGAGCCAGCGCGAGAAGATGCGGCCGGAACGGTTCGCTCGGTAAGTGATGCCACACTCGTGACCCTGGACCGCCCGAGGCATATCTGACATCCGTAGTCGCACGCGCTTGCCGCCACAGAATGTCGTCAAGCCGCGAGGCAGCCAGCCGCGTGCCAAGATAGATGCCCTGACGGAGGTGCAAGATCCGTCGAACATATCGCGTTCGCTGCACGATCTGATGCCGTCACCGAGAAGGACACGAAAGCTGAGTGTGGGAGACAACTTCCTCTATAGCTTTGACAGACAAGACACCCCGGGCAAGCCGTTGTCGCTGGATATCTTCATCAAGGCGAACCCCAAGGAGACGGAGAAACTCGTCGAGCAAGAGTACACCGTACTGGACGGCAATGGAGATGCCCTGACGGGCCGAAAGGCCAGACACAACCTCCGGCGTCAAAACCACGCAAGCACAACGAGTGAGCCCGAGATAGTCGAGGATGATGGCTTTGAGCTCATCTGAGCGAGTCGTCTTGGATCGGTTGAGTTTGCCCTGCTGGCTCCACCGCACAGGACAAACTCTACCGCACCAATGTCTTCACTCCTTCGGTCTGCGCAGCTCTTGCCTTGTACATTCCCTAGCCCGCGGAGGACAGACATATTCGATCTTGTAATAGCTTCTGGCATGCGGCACAGCGGACAATCCGTGGAACAGCTTCGGGCTCCTCTCATTTGCATCTTTTCGACAGCGAGTATAGACATCGGTTTCTGCAGGCACCGCATCGGACGGCCACGGCCAGCAACTGCACATCACACAGCGCGGCACTTACCTCCTTTGTTCTCTTTGCATAGTCCTACCTTCATCATTGGTAGTACCTGGCGTTCAGCCTAACTCTGGCCGTTGATGCAGCGTGGTCGGAGGAGGACGGCTCGACGTATTCTGATTTTTGTGCGGGTTTTCTCGGTGGGCTCGACGACATGGATACATGAACAGGCGACGGATGGACGAGGACTCCTAAGCGGTCGGGCGCACTGGCAAGCAAGTACTTTTGGCATAATTAATATGATGCAGCGTTTGGCTCATTCGCGCAAAGCAAGGCAACATGTCCCATTCTTGCTGTGCCTCGTAGACTCGTCCGAGCAGTGTTGTTGACAGGCGAGGGTTCGTGTGCTGCTGAGAGGAAAGGGAAGAGAGGGATGGCTGGAGGGTTTTGCGGAAATTCTGACTTGTATGTGCGCTGTGAGAGCAAGGGAGCGCTGGTCTGTGCGGGGCGGCCATATTCGGCTGGGTAACAGCCACGCCAGCAAGACAGCCACACAAGTTGGCTGCCTTTACCGCCCACGCCGCCGTATGGAGTGACGGAGTAACACCTACTTCGTACAGTATTGAGTTTCCTTGGAACAGAACAGAAATCCGCCGTGCATCTGCATGCTCATGCTGCCATAATTCTGTCCGGCAAAGGAGACATGCGCGCCCCTCGTAACGAATTCTACTTCCCCGCTCGTACCACTGTGCTTTTGCCGTCTGCCGTTGTCACATGAGCTTCTGCTGCAGTGTAAGCGCCACCTCAAGACTACCATCTGCGCGTCTCCATCGCTTAATACATAGGGCCACTTACAGGCCGGCGGATACTATCCAAAATGGAACTACCAGGAAAAACAAAGCCCTCATGGCACAGTGGTAATGCGTCGCACTCGTAGTCTTCTTACGATGTAATGCGAAGATCCTCAGTTCAATTCTGAGTGGGGGCAATATTCAGGATGGGATTCTCGTTAAGCCTGTCGATTGCTTTTTTTGCTTTTTGTCCTGCTTTCTGTCTTTCATCTGTCCTCGGTCGTGCGTGGGTCGCTTAGACTGGCTGGCCCTCTCTTCCCTCGACTCCAGAGGACGATGAGAGACAGAGAAAGGGAGGCTGGTAGGCGAATAAGCCACGGAAAGCCGTCCAGTGGGAGTTTGAACATTTATTACGAGCCGGACACAGTGAGTGAGTAATGCTGTATGGGCATAGCCGTACTTGCTCTCGTATATATACCTGATCGTAGATTACCCCAACAACTCTTCTAGCACAGAAAGCCGTATTAACGATGATAGTAGGATAATCGACAGCATCTAGTCATATTTCTCGTAGTTTCCTGCTACCCTCGTACCGAATCCACGGTCTAAATGAGCATCTCTTCCATGAAGAGATTTGACGTCTTTCTAGGTAACAGAAAGAAAAGGCAGAAATTTAGATACAAGGCCCAACGCCCAGCGCCCAATGGTCGTTTCTTGTTAACATCTTAGAGAATCCATCTCCTAGACGTGTCAACTCGTCTCTGCGTTTCCTCCTCCGCCCGTCCCTTGAGTGCCGCGCGTGCAGTCGACACGAGCCACGCGGAACGTTCAAACATGTTTGGGAGCCGAGCCATCTACGACGACCGTATGGATCTGCGGCCGGGCATAATCCAAAGTATGGCTGCTGCCCTCATGCATATCTGATCTAGCGATGCCAGAACCAGTGACATCAGGCTCCTGGGGCAAGCAGGCAGTACCAGGCCCCATGAACCAACCACTCAACTCAGCGTTGGTACTGGAAGGGCGCGTACTGTTTCTCCCACGTCTCGTTGCAGACGCGCCGCATCAGGTTCCGGGGCGCCTTGCGGCCGGTCATGAGCTCGAAGGCCGCCGTGGCCATCTCGCTGACGACCTCGAGGCCGTCCACGATGACCCACAGCGTGTTGCCCTCCTCGCGCATCCGGCGCATCTGCACGACCAGCGGCGTGATCAGGGGCTCGTAGGCCAGCTGGTAATAGTACGGACGTTCGTCAATCCCATGGTCAGCTTCGCGAAGGTCCCCCGACGCAGCAAGCAGCAAGACAGAAAGCAGCAGTGCAGTATAAAGAGGGGCCGAAAAACTCGCTCGAAACGTACCTCAATCACGACGCCCCCGGTCGGGCTCATGAGCCACTGCGCGGGCATCCGGAAGCTCTGCGACGCGTGGTCCTCGTCCGGGCTCGGAGCCGGGATGCAGGACACGATCATGGTGGGCTGCTGGTAGCCCTCGGGCCAGGGCTCGGTGGCGGACGATGGCAGGACGAAGCAGACACGATCCTCCTGCCCCTGCTGCTGCTGCTGCTGCTGTTGCTGCTCGCCCGCTGTTGTTGGTTTCCTGGAGACGAGCTTCTGCTCGCTCGCGTAGGCGTTGAAGTGCGCCGCGACCTCCTCGGCCCGGGCCGCGGTGCGGTTGTGGACGAAGATGCGGCGGCAGCCGAGCCGGAGCAGCGCGTAGATGGCGGCGCGCGCCATGCCGCCGGCGCCGACGACGAGCGCCGTCGTGCGCGAGGGCTGGACCGAGTTGCGCGGGCTGATGGCCCGGCTCAGGCAGGTCATGATCGAGCTCCAGTCCGTGTTGTCGCCGTAGAACCTGTCGGTCGAGCCCGCCTGGTTGCGCGCGTTGGCGTGGTCCAGGATGGACGGCGTCTGCCCGCGCAGCGGGAGGAGCGTGTTGACGGCGCCGATGGCGGTCGCGTGCGAGCTCAGGTGGTCTACGCGGCTCATCATGCTGACTTTGAAGGGTGCGACCAGCGAAGCACCTCCGAACCCCGGCTCGGTGCGGATCTTGATGATCTCCTCCATCTGCGTGCATCTCTTGGCGTCGAAGGTGTGCGGCATCATGTAATGCTCATACGCAGCTCGGTGCATCGACGGAGATGCCGAGTAGTAAACATTCGACCCGAGCGCGTAGAAGCTGAGTGGTTGAAGGCGTCCACGGTGGAAAAGGTCGCGAAGTATACCGCGAGTAGTGCTGAGGCCGACCAGATACTCTCGCGGTGACTGCATCAGGGAGTCGTGGCGACAAGGTTGGAAGCTCTTGCCTTGGAACGGGACGACAACGCCAAAGACAGAAAAGTCGTAGGCGACTATGTGCGGTTTTGGTTCCGGTATGGCCGCCACTCTGGCGATGAACTGGTCCCGAAGCTCGTCGTTCCTGTCGGTTGTGCAGAACCTGGCGATGCGCACAATATGGCACCCCAGAGTCTGGCCCCGCGCGTAGCGTTCAACGTAAACATCGTCTGTCCACTGGGGCGCACCGAGGCCTTTGACTATGTAATTCCCGATGATTCTTGTTCTGCCCCGTGCGGCTAAGACTTGAGCCACCAGGCTCTCACTCCTTTCCAGGTCTAGACTGAGATACTCGACGCCGAGTCGAAGGCCGTGGAGCATCAATGCCAGATCGACAGTGTCCCTCTCTTCCAGGGGCCTGTGACGTTCCTCGCGTGGATTCTCTTCGACGTTAAAGATTACTGGTACGTCGAGTTTTCTGCGGATCACAGCCACCTGCATGGCAATGATGTCGAGATAATTATCTGGCCACGTGTCGATGATAAGCTCGACCGCCTCGGCCGATGCTTCGAAATCTGCCAAGTCCCTACCCGTCTCCATGAGTACTGACAACCGAAGATGTAAGACAAAGGTGTAGGTTCGAAACTCGGGGGGGATTGCTTTGACTGAGAAGGGGTTCTCGACCCAGGAGCGAGTCATGCCCTGTCCAGTGATGTTGTCCACGAAATTGACAAAATCTTGCCTTGCCTTGATCAGGCGGGCAGAGTTGGAAGACGCTGACCGCAGCAGGGAGTCCTCGGCTCGAGGACCATCTCCGCTGGTATCTAAGAGATTAAAGTATTCCAGGTTGGAGAACTCTCGATGCTTGTGGTCTGCGAGTAACATGCGTTCTGCGTCGGCGGCTGGCAGTTTGAGTAGCCGATACAAGTCATCCTTGTCACGGTGGACGTAGACCACAGGATTGCTCGCCGCATACCTCGAGAGTATCTCCTGTGTGTCGGCCGACAAAGTCCCGGTTGCGCACTCTACGACACAATTCTGCCGATTGCGATCGAGAGTCTGGGCGAGCACTGTCGCCATGGAACTGTTGAAGGTCGCGCGGCCGTACCTTTGCAGGAAAGTAGCCCGACTGCAGCCGGTGGCTTGTTCGAAGACATGGTCCTCGGTGAGAAGCCGTCGACCCAGGTGCTTCGCTGCCAAGAAGCCCAGCGTCCGTTTGCCGGCGCTGTGACATCCTACGAGGACGATGGTGGCATCTGGCGGAAAGATTCGGCGGTTTGCCCTGCTCGCCGCTGTCAAAGTTTCCATGCCCACTCAGCCGTGCCTTTCTCGGCGGCGTCGGACCCGGAGACGTGGATAAACCGGGCGGCTCTCGCTCTAGAATCGATGACTGACTCCAGTATAGCAAACATTCCTCTTTTCAGCGGGTGATCACGCAGCGAGAGAGTCGGGATGACCTTATTTCCACCACAGATGCCCTTGGGCAACCGTAGCAGCAACAATGGCCCGGTGACGAAGAATCAGGCGTCTTATTATTTCCCAACGCTCGTCAAGTCAGCGTCTGCATGCAACCGGACGCCGCGTCGAGGGCAGGTCGGCGACCCGGTGCGCGGCGAGGCGGCTGAAACAAACTGCAGCCAGCCAGCAGACCGGGACAGTGCTTGGAGGTCTCCAACCTAGCACCTCACTTCGGCATTTTTCTCGAGGGGATTTGTCATTTTGTAGAAAGGGCAGCCTGGGGCAAAGCTCGAGAAGACCTCCACCTCCCGTAACCCGAGCTTGGTGGGTCATCGTGGCACACACGTCGGGCAGCGTCGTCGGCATTCAGTGCCCAGGTGGAAATTTGCTCCTAGCGGGCCAGATCTTGGGGTATGTACAGAGACTCGAAAGAAATAACGCACCGCTTTTCGTCGGAATTCTGGTTAACAGAGAGGTATTTTTATTTCCCCCACACGGTACCTGCACCATCACGGCGCAGATTCGGGTGCGGGAGGGCGGAGGTGGCTGAATAAGGGTGCCGTACGGAGTACGGAGTATGGGGTGCAGAGGGCTTCCATCCACGCATATACCCAGTAAGACGATATATGAGTACTGAGCACATGCATTCAGAGGATAAAATGTATATGATGAAGGGAGGCGAGCCACTTGTGTATGTGCACGCAATGGCACGCCACAGTCCAGCCACATCGTTGCTTGGACCGCCCTGTGGGAGCTCAAGCTTCCATTCTGATGCAAGGATCTTCCAGTATCCTCCCGCCACGCCCGCCTTTCGATCGAGCCGGCTTCACCGGCACCGGGTTTCATTCCGGGTCCCCATGATCAATTCAACAACGACTTCCATGTCCCGTTGATAGTTGCCCATTGCTTCGACGCAATCAGTCATCCGGGCTATGTATATTGGCGGCCCTCATGTTTCCCTACCAGAGCCCTCCACGGACGCTGCGACACCCCTCAAGGCTCATTCTCGCTGACCCTGGGAGAGTCTGGCTGTAGAGAGAAAGAGCCCCGGTGAAGGTATTCACATAGCAACACACCTCTAACCCGGATACCAGAGCTTGGAGACGACGGCGCCTTCAAAGCCAGTCCCGGAGGCTATGAGTGATGGCGAGAGCGACGACGACGCCAAGCGAACGTCGAAGAAGCGCAAGGCCAGCCGCGCCTGTGACCGGTGCAACTCGCAACATCAGCCGTGCGACAACGCCGCCCCCAAGTGCGGCGTCTGCGTGCGTGCCGGGACCGAATGCACGTACAACCGTCCTGTGCGCAAACGGGGGCCGCGCAGTGGTTACACAGGCCAGAATGGCGAGCGCCTGTGGGCTGTAGTGCTCCAGTCTAGGCCTGAGATCGAGGACGTCGTGCTTCAGATCCTCCGCAGCGGTACCTACGGGGACACTGGCATCTCCAACCTGGACTACTTCAGGAATAATGA